ACGACTGTCGTGTCAGTGGGAAACTTGTCCAATCAGAGTCGCAATAAGCATATAGACGCAGATCACTATCAGAAAGGAACAATATACCTTGTCTTGGATATCCTTTCATATAATGCACTACACGCAGAGCTGCCTCCCAATGTTCTTGTCGTGGGCTTTGCATAAACTGAGCTAGGATATGAACACAATAACACAGCTTAGGACATGTAATGGTCAAGTAGATCAACCGTCCCACTAATCGTCGATACTGATTCAGATTTTCCATAAGAGCGCCCTTTTCTAGTGCAAGATGATGATTCTGTTCAATGGGTACGGGTGTTGGTTTGGCTCCCAAGAGTCCACATTCCGAGATGATGTCTAGGGCATATTTCCATTGAGACAAAAAGATTCCCTCAAGGCCACGAGCTACTTCAATCCCTAGGAAATATTTGAGTGGACCCAGATCTTTCATATGGAAGCATCGATGGAGATACTTTTTGAATTTTACAATGGCAGCAGTATCATTTCCTCCAACAATCAGGTCATCAACATATATCAGCACGTGCAAACGAATATTGTGTTTGCAATAGGTGAACAGAGAGTAGTTAGGATACGACTGGACAAACCCGAACTGTATCAAGGCCATTGTTAACTTTGAGAACCAACATCTGGGAGCTTGACGTAGTCCATAGAGAGATTTCTTCAGTTTGCACACCTTTGTTTGATCCTTAGATGCAAATCCTGGCGGCAACTGCATGTATACTTCCTCATTCAAATCCCCATGTAAGAAGGCGTTATGTACAGCCATCTGATGCAATTCCTAGTTCCTAGTGGCCGCCACGGCTAAGAAGGTCCGAACTATCGTCAGCTTGGCCACAGGAGAAAAAGTCTCATTGTAATCTAACCCTTCAACCTATCTATTCCCGAGAACAACTAGGCGCGCCTTATACTGTTCAATTGTCCCATCTGAATTATATTTGATCTTATAAGCCCATTTACTCCCTATTGCCTTTTTTCTAGGAGGTCGAGATTCCAATGTCCATCTACCATTATCCTCCAGGGCCTAGATTTCCTTCCTCATAGCTTATCCCCATTTCTCACTTTTTATTGCCTCAGAAAAACTGGTAGGCTTGGCTCCTGCAGTGACTGCAGCTAAGAAGGCTTGATGTTTAGTAGAGAAGTTAGTACATGTCACATAATTTGCTATGGGATAGGGAGTCGTACCTGAGGACTTTGATTCAGAGTTGGCTTGAGTGTGAATGGGGTCTTTCAAACATCGAGCAGTTTAGGTTACGCAGGGCTTTAACAAAACAAACGACGCGCGATGTCGATGTCCCCTACCAAGTTGTTCTTCTAGTGCTGGATCCACACTAATTCTGTCCTCTCCATCATTAGCTTCCATTTCCTGCACACCCCCTCCATTGCCTTTCTCCTCCTCTCCTCTATGAATATGTTGAAAGCTCTCCCTATCATTCGCACAAATATCGTCTTTGGCACTTCCCCTGTCTTTATGTCCCCCATGGCTGTGAAAAACATCATCATCAACTACAACTGCAATTGCCGGGCTAGGGTTGTCTTCAAGAGTTACTTCTAAATCACTGACCTATGGAAATATGTTTTCATGGAAGACTACATCGCAGGAGACGAAATATTCACCGCTCTCGACATCATATACGTGCCAACCTTTCTTTCCATAGGGATAGCCTACAAAAACACACTTCCGACTCCTCGCTCCAAACTTATCCTTATCTCAAGGACTCCAATGAGCATAGCAGAGACAACCAAACACTCTTATTTGTTCGTATTGAGGTGTTGTCTCGAACAGTACCTCGTATGGAGTCTTCCTGCCAAATACGGAAGAAGGTGTCCTATTTATTAAGTATGCAGCAACAAGACACACTCCCCCCAAAACCGAATAGGTAAACCTGCTTGAAACCTCAATGCTCTGGCAACATTCAAAATATGCTTATGTTTTCTTTCCACTCGACCATTCTGTTGGGGTGTTCCAACATAGGAGGTCTGATGCAGAATGCCATGAGTCTCGAAGTATGACTTCAGGCCTTTAAACTCTGTTCCATTATCACTTCGAACAACTCTGACTTACTTGCCAAATTGGCGTTCTGCCATGGCACAAAAATTCTGAACAATATGTGCTACTTCACTTTTTTCAAGTAGCAGGTAAACCCACACAACACGAGAATAATCATCAACAATGGTTAGAAAGTAAACGGCACCACAAGAGGCAGGTACTTTATAAGCACCCCATGTATCACAATGAATTAGAGAGAAACAATCATCAGCTTTATGTTTACTTTCAGGAAAAACTTCCCTAGTTTGTTTTGCTCTGTAACAAACATCACATGGCTTATCTCTTTCAGGTCTATTGTTTAATTTACCTACTTTAGGAAGTGAAGATAATATCTATTTAGACGGATGTCCCAATCTACGGTGCCACAACTCCCATTCACTCATTTTACTTGTTCTATTTGTCCGAACTGGTGCTGCTCCTCTAAAATGATAGACCCCATTACACTGCTCACCCGCTCCAATCAGAGTCCTCGAGGTTTGGTCCTGTATCACGCACAACTTCTTAGTAAAAGTGAGTACAATTTATCTCTTGCAATAATTTAGCTACAAAAATAAGGGTGCAGTTCATTCTTGGTACAAAAAACACATGATGTAAATAAATATTTCCACCCAAATGCACAATCCCTTCCTTTACTACAGTAGTTTGCTTCCCATTGGGAAGTTCCACCGGAAACGATGTAATATTACGAACATCAATCAATAAATTAATTTCTCCAGTCATATGGTGCGACGCCCCAGAATCAATTATCCAATCAGCAAAATTTTTCTTACCGGAAAGTCTTTTAGTTTTATGTGAATTCAGAATATTGAGAAGTGTTGTCCATTGGTCTTCACTCAGCCCCGAAAACCCGTTTCGGTCATGATCATTTGTGGTTCCAACCTTCCGTCCTCCAGTCTCACTTCCCGCTGCTTGGGCAGCGTTTGCTCTTGCCTTGTTTCCTCGTCCTCGTCCGCCGAACATGGTGAAAAGTCTATCGATATACGACGAGCAACGGTCACCTTCAGGTAGTTGTTTGGTGTGCTCTACAGGCGGTAATCAAAGATTACGACAGTCACACAAATCCTCCCAACTTCAGGGGTTCGTCGAACTCCAGATGAGGTTTGCGAAACAAGTGAGGCCACAATACCTTGCAGAATAATCCAAGAAAACCCAAGGGCCTACGCAACAGGATCAGATTCCGGAGGATATATCGATCGACCGGCAGAATACACAACAGGAACCATCAACCGGCCCGAACTAGTTTTTAGTTCATGAAAACCAGGTCAAACACTCCGCTTCGTGCTTCGGCATAGGATCTGTTAATCTCGATCATACTCCGTCGCACTGTAGAAACCATACGGTTTGGAAGGCAGGGTCGAAGAAGTCCTCCCGAAAACAGAGGAGAGAGAACAGTTTGTGTTGAAGATGACGAAACTCTCTCTGGATTTCGTAGAATGCGAAGCCAAACTCTGGTCACTGTCTCAGAGATGGGGATGATGAATCAATCGGCTTTGAGGGATTGGAAGAATGTTGCCGCTCAGAAGTTTCACTGCCGCTGGTCTGGTTCAGACGGAAAAGAGTCCAGTCTTCGCTGCCGCTGGTTCTGCTCGAACAGGGAGAGAAGAGGAACTGTAGCTTCGCCACCGCTCTTTTCTGCTCAGAAGTTTCGCTACTGCTTCTCTGGTCCAGACGGAAAGAGTCCAGTCTTTGCCGCCGCTGGTTCCGCTCGAACAGGGAGAGAAGAGGAACAGTAGCTTCGCCGCCGCTCTTCTGGGTTGGGTTCAAATGGAGGGGGTGAGCTACAGTGCCGCTCTTGGAAACTGGAGCGCAGAGTCTGGACTCTGCCGGCGAATGCGGTGTTGCTCTCAGCAACTTCGTTACTGCTGCTGATTTACAGATCGTAGAACACAGACCTCTTTCTCCCGTTTCTTATGGCTCTGATACCATGAAAAACTCTGTGAAATTTGTTGATGATCTTCATTATACAAGGTACAACCTATATATATACAATTTCCTATGGCTGAATTTAGGAGATTCAGTTTTAGTAGGAAATTACTAATTACAAGTTCTACTAATTGCAAGTTCCCCAAGAAATCTGGGAAACTACTATCTAAATACTTCTAGCAAACGTGGAGATTTGGTTTCCCAATAAACACTTTAGCTCGATTTTTTATTCCAGTTGATTATTAGTGAGAGAGTCTCAGCTTTCACGCATTTAATTCTAGGAAATTGAAAGTCAAGGCGGAAGTCTTATTCTCCATTGTCTAATTTTCGTTGTTTTTTATTTGAATGAAATAGAAAAAAGAAACCCTAATCCGTATTTTTTATTTATTTTAAAATTTTAGCATACATGAAAACGTTTGAAACGTATATTGTTCTAACTTATTGGGTGGGTTCACGTAGACGTTGCTTTCTGTGCGTAGGAAAGATCTATATGTTCGTGGGAAAAACAAAAGAAAATATGATAGGAAGAATCTGAGAAGAAAGATGTCAATCAGTCGATTCAATAAACCAAGTTAATTTGTTCAGATTCCGGGAAACTCCCTGGGCACTGGGCTGTGCCATAATCTGGCAAAACGCAGTAACAGGCAGAGGAAAAAGAGAGAATTCCATTTCGATGTCTCACCATTCCTCTCACATCAGATCGGGGAAACCATCAAAGATGTTTCAACTAGTCAATAACCCAGTGGATGCGAGTATGCGACTCAATAGATGAGAATACGAAAACAACAAATTGACGAAGACCCATTTCCAGCTGAATTGTATACTTGCTCTGTTCATTAATTATTCCCCATTATTACTTGTATACTTGCTCTGTTCTTTTACTTCGCTATCTTTTCCCTTTTTTTTACCAAAAATGAAAAAAAAAAGTAATTAAAATCCAAGAGAAGTAAGCAATTATATATAATAATTTGCTTGTCGAGCTGTTTATCTGGTCATTTAAATGAATTAATTAATGAACAAATAAATGAATTAATGGAATCAATACAGTTACAGACTTACAGTATACCATATCCCTCTCTCCAACATATACATTTTCAAGTATGAGATTATTCTGTATTACTATTTGTTGCTTGTAATAGTAGTAATAAAATAATAAAGGGATTTTCCATGATCCTAGATGGTCCTGCTGAATCTCAAACCAGCGTGGAACAGGACGAAGTGGAAGGATCAAATAAGGCCGGGAGCAAATATTTCCTGGCGTTTGAACCATGCGCGTTATAGCTCCCACCAGTGGTAGAATCCACTAAGAGCTCCCCTGCGTAACCCGGATATGCCCCCTTGGCGAACACGCCGGGGCAAGCCGAGGCAGCCTCGAGAGGGGCATCCGGCGATCCCTGGAAGTAACCATTGCCAAAGGGGTTGGTCACTGTTCCGGCCAAGAGAGCAGCCAGGTTGGTCACCATACCGTCCAGACCCACGTCGTTGTTTGGTGCGACCAAGGGCGGGGTCTGGGGTCCGTAGATGGGCTGGTGGAATGGCCATGTACATTTACCGGGGCACTGTATCTCCGAGTTGCCCACCCAGATGTACACAAACGTACTGTTTCCATTCCCCCCCGGTGTCCCGTTTGATGATGAGCTAACAGAAGAACCGTGAGTCCCGCACCTCCTCGAGCAGAAGCCTTCAACGGCCACATCGGAAGCTGTCAACACGACGTTGATGGCATTCTTTTTGTTTCCCCTCTCGGCCAATTGAACGATTTGGTTACTGGTGAGATATTTCCCAACAGAGTACTTCTTGTCCAGGAGCTGCTTACCCATCTGGAGGATGAGCGAAGGGTGGTGCTTCTTAGAGGTGTTATTCTGGTAGTACTTCTCGGTGGTTTTCCACCAGGTGACAACGGAAGGTTCGATCTGGGGGGTCTTTTTTAAAGCTGATGAAGAAGTCGTGGAACCGGAAAGAGAGGAGAGGAAATCAGAGATGATGGCACGCTGGGAGGGCTTGAAGTTGCCATACCAAATTAGAGAAATGGAGAATTTTCCGGATAGAAGGGGACCATTGTGGTATTCTAAGTGCAGAGGCTGCTCTGATACCAGCTCATTGAGTCGCCTTGCTGCGGAGGAGATATGGAGCAGGGAGATGACCAACAATAGTTTGAAGAGAAGCTTGGTTGAAAGTGAACAAGTCATATTAATTAATTTGTGGCTTTCTAGTGTAGTGGGCTGTATGTCTACACACCAGAAAAGAAGAGGAGATGGGTCTTGTCTTAGACAGGTAGTGATCGAGTGCTGTGGAGAATGGATTGGGTGATTGGGGGGTTTATATAGTGGAAACAGAAGAGTAATTTTATAATTTTACTGGTTGCCATGATCAATAACTCTTGAAAGTTAAGAGGAGAGGAAAAAAAAAAAAGCGATGAGCGGTGAGTGAACTGGAAATGGAAGATTTAAGCTAGAGGCGTGTCCAAGTGCCCCCAGTGGTGCAACAACGCGTTTGCTTATGTGTGCAAGGTTTAGTTAGAGTTTCGTCACTGACCTGGCTTGTCCATTGACAGCTAATTGGTTGCTCCTTATGAATTCTCAAATTTCTCAGCAAGGCACTTGACAAGTTAAAGTCTAGAAGAGTCGAGAAGGTGCAAAGGATTCAGCAAGGTGGACGGTGCATCCAATTTTGGATCAAATCACTATAGCTTTATTATTTACTTTGGGACTTGGGTAGCTTTTACTTTTTAGAGAGTTCCAAAGGAAGTCTGATTTCCAAATCTTAACATCTTCAACTTGTATATCAATGTTGAGAATGATTTTTTACTCTTAAAAGTTTATTTGTATCTGAAAATTTGATAGTTTATTTAAGGGTCCGTTTGGTTTATGTCGAAACCGGAATCATTATCAGATGGAAAAGCAGAATATACCGGGAGGGCATAGCCCGCCTTGCCCTATGCCCAATACAAAAAGCACTCATCATTACCCTCTCAAAACCTACCACAATTATTTTAGACCAGAATGAGAATTAGAATCGGAATCAATTGGAATGAGGGTGAGGGAATAATCAATCATTCAAATGGAGGAATTTTATTCCACTAGGAAGGAACCCACTCAACAATTGGAGTCATTCCGACTTTGAATCCAAATCCCTATTCCCACTATGAATTCAAACAAGCAGCATCAGATTGATACTATTTGTGAGAATCGCACAAAAAGCCATTTCAAATTTTCTTTTTACACAATAAAAAAAGATGCCAAGAAATGCATTCGACTATTCTATAGGCCAATCCCCATCTCGAGGATCCTGCTCTCACCACCGCAGCCCCCCACATCGCGAATTTTAACAACAACCTCAACTACAGACCATCGTCGACCCTACCTAGTTCCAAGCAATGCAACATAAAGTTGACTAGATCTTGGTGATGATGCAGACATTGGGATCTACAGCACAACCTCCTTAGAGCGTCCCCCCTCCTGCCCTACCATTTACCATGGCTGATCCTTTCTCTAAGGAAGGATATGGTGCGGTCTGACCAAGAAAGGCAACATTCATCAAGAAGGTTAGACTCCTCAGCCTGATCCTGTGAACGCAATGACCGCAGCAAGACACACCGTTCTGCTCGAGTTCCGGTGAGAGAAAGGCTCGAAAAAAGGATGCAGCAATAACCAGTCTCCATCGTAGGGTCCAGCTCAGTAAAAGATCACCCGGCGATGCCCAAGAAAGAAAGGGTAACACATGCAGCCCAAGACGACAAGGACGTGGAGATCAGAGAGCTTAGGTAGTGCCTGATCGAGTTGGAATGTAGCCAAGTTGAGAGAAGCATGACTCCTCCCATGGTCCAGCTCGCGAAACTCAACAACCAGCTCGCCAAAGAGCTAGTCTTCACCCAGGACATCGTGGATGAGCTCCCCCCAACCGGCTGGTGAGCTCCATAGTTCAAAAAGTACGACAGATCAATAGACCCCAACGACCATGTGGAAGGCTTCAAGGCCCTGATGATGTCGCATGGTTTCTCTGAAGTTTTGATGTGCAAGGCCTTCGTTGCCACTCTCAAAGGAGTTGCTTGGACATGGTAGTATTCCCTTTAACCATGCTCCATCTCTTCTTGGGAGCAGTTGGAGAGCCAGTTCCTGGCACAATTCGCCGCAAGCTAATGACACTAAAAGACTTTGGCTAGTCTCATGCAAGTGTGGCAGAGGAAGAGAGAGACTCTAAGAGAGTACTTGGCGAGGTTCAACGCTAAGGCCCTACAAGTTCGCGCCCTTAACCAATTAGTAGCGGTCATAGCCGTCATGCAATGCCTGCGCCCCTCCCCCTTCAATTTCTCAATATCAAAGAAGCTTCTTCAAGACATGGACGTATTGATGAAACATGCCCAGAAGTACATCAACGTCGAAGAGGCGCAAGCTCAACTAAGAGGCGAGGAAGAACATCCTGATAGGAAGAGGAGGGACCCCGACGACCGCAAGATAGAGAGGGCAGACAGAGATAGCAAGAGACAAGACTGCTGACCAGATAGAAGACCGAGGACTCCACGGCCGACCTATAGAAACTTCACGCCGTTGAATGCTCATTGGTTAGAGATTCTGATGCAGATTCGTGACTGCAACTACGTTAGGTGTCTAGAAAAGATGAAGTCCCAAAACAACAAAAGAAATAGAGACAAATATTGCGACTTCCATCGATACCACAACCGCGAAACGAAAAACTTCCACAACTTGCGCCACCACCTCAAGGACCTGATCAGGAGTGGGTACCTCGGGGGATTCATCGACACCCAGGAGGATAAACCAAAGGAGGAATTGCACCTAGAAGCCAGACCTCTAGCCATAGCTCCCCCAACTGGACTCATCACCACGATCTAAGGAGGCATGGCCGCTGGAGGGGAAGGTAGCTTGGGCAACAAGGCATATGTGTGGCTCCTTGAGATCGACGATAGGGAGCAAAAGAGAAGGTGGGAGGATCCGATCACCTTCATCGATGATGACCTCAGGGGTCAGACCACGCACGATGATGCCCTTGTGATAACAGTTGAGATAGAAAACTTCGAAGTTCAACACATCCTGGTAGACACTTCGAGGAAGCCTTCGAACAACTCGACATTAGCAAGGACCGCCTCACCCTAGTCAACACTCCCCTGATGGGTTTCTACGGAGAGTCCCTCATGCCTAAAGGAAATATCATGTTGCCTTTGCTGATCGAAGATGGTGACATTACTACAATGTCAATGGTTGATTTCATCGTCGTCCGGTGCCTTTCGTCCTACAATGCCATCCTCAACCGACTAACCCTCAATTCACTGTGAGCCTTTGTTTCCACGTTCCACCTAGCAATGAAGTTCCTGACCCCTTATGGAGTGGGAGTAGGACGTGGAGACTAGAGAGCAGCATGACAATGGTACTTGAAGGCCTGCAGAGGAAAGCGCCAAGCAATGGAGACGTTGACAATCAAGAGCATAGACCTGCGGGATGAGCTAATGACGTAACGCGGCCAGCCTGTCGAAGACCTTGTACAGGTGCCACTCTCTGAAGAAGACCCTAAGAAGACGGTCTAGGTTGGATCCCTCTTAGAAGATCATTTATGGGAAGAGCTTGTGTAGCTACCGAAGGATAACGTCGACGTGTTTGCATGGTTTGCAGTAGACATGCCGGAGGTCAACCCTAAGGTCATCAAGCACCCCACAACTAGAATGCCGACTAGTGCTACTGACCCATTATTCACTACAGAACGGTGGCAAGTGATCAACAAAGAGGTCCAGAGGCTACTCGACGCTGGCTTTATCCGAGAAGTAAAGTACCTAGACTGGCTAGCGAATGTCGTGATGGTGAAGAAGGCTAATGAGAAGTGGAGAATCTGCATTGACTTCACTGACCTGAATAAATCCTATCCCAAAGATAGCTTCCCCCTACCGATGATCGACCAACTCGTTGATGCAATGCTGGGGCATGAACTCCTAAGCTTCATGGATGCATTCTTAGGCTACAACCATATCCAAATGCACCTGGACAATTAGGAGAAGACAACCTTCATCACCGACCAAGGACTTTTCTGCTATATGGTTATGCCCTTCGGCTTCAAGAACGCCGGTGCTACATATCAGCGACTGGTGAACCACGTCTTCAAGGACCAGGTCAGATGCAACGTAAAAGCCTATGTGGATGACATGCTGGTGAAGAGCAAGAAGGCCGAGCACCATCTAGTTGACCTCAAGGAAGTCTTCGACACCCTCAAGAAATATCGAATGAAGTTGAAGCCGACAAAGTATGCTTTCAGGTCGTATCTGGAAAATTCTTGGTACTCATGGTGACACAAAGAGGAGCTGAAGCCAATCCTAAGAAGATCAAGGCCATCCTCAACATGCAGTCACCTCAGACCTACAAGGAAGTGCAGCGCCCTTAGCAGGTTCATGTCAAAGTCTGCAAACCAATGCATACCCTTCTTCAAGGCCCTCAAAACTGAGCCCTGGGGACGAGCTACTGCTCTATCTCTTGGTTGGAGATGAGGTAGTCAGCTCGGTACTAGTAAAGGAGGAAGACTGAGTACAAAGGCCGATCTACTACACCAAGGTCTTGAACGGTGCAAAAACCTTGTACTCAAATCTGGAGAAGGTTGCCCTGGCCTTAGTCACTTCAGCAAGAAAGCTCAAGCCATACCTCAAAGCCCACAGCATCTGGGTACTTACCGATCAGCCTCTCAAGCAAGTATTGTAGTGGTTGGAAGTGTTTGGCCACCTAGTCAAGTGAAGTGTGGAATTAAGTGAGTTCGACATCAACTATGCACCTTGGCCCACCATGAATGCCCAGGCCTAAGCTGATTTCCTCGCTGAATGCACATTCATGACATAGGATCCAAGTGCACCATCACTCGTATGGACCCTTCACGTGGACGGTTCCTCTAACCCACAAGGCATTGGGGCTGGCCTCATCCTCCTCGACCCGGACAACACGGTAGTGGAGAACACAGACACTTTGAGGTGAGGACACCACCCATGGTGAGCTACCTACAAAGCGTTCAAGAGCTCATCCAACGGCTCAAACACTTCATCATTCAGCAGATCCCATGAGCCGAGAACATATGAGCTGATGTACTTTCAAAGCTCACTAGCTCGTCGTAGACCGACCTCGATCCAATAGTTCAGATGAATACTTTGGCTTAGCCCAGCATCACGTTGACCACCTTCCTCATCCTCCGTGTTCAGCATGGCCCATCCTAGGTGGATCCTCTAGTACTGTACCTTTGGGATGACACACTACTAGAAAACTGAGTTGAAGGCAAGAGACTCATACACAGGTCGACCCGATACTACCTCATCTAGGGATAGCTTTACCGTCGGTCACACACTCTCCCCTACCTGAGGTGTCTCTCCCCCCCCTCCCTCCGAGGCCAATTATGTCCTTAGGGAGATA